TATATATATATATTGCTGACTTTCAAAGTATAATATTGATTGCACAAGAGTAGCGCACTCGCATCGCGCTCAAGATTTGAGCCATAAAATTTTTACTTACAAGTATCTATTGTCATGCATAATGACTCCAAATAACTATTCAGATAATAAATTCCCTTTTGTAAGACCTATAGGTGTATTGTAAAACTTGCTTCTCGAAATCATTTCCATATAAATATTTGTAAATAGAAAAATACAATATATCGTCATATCTTAAAATATACAAGCTCACTGCTCCCTAATTCTTTAAATCCTCACACAAAATTCCAAATTCTTATATAAAATACATCTCTAGAAAAGTATAAAACAAGACTGCTTGTCTACATGTGAAAATATATGTAGCACAGATATAATGAGAGTTTTGTATTCGATAAGCCTCCCTCCCTTTCCACTATGAAAACTGCTCGTCAATAATTTTTAGAGTTTACTGAAAATATCAATAAAGCAAAATCATATGTACGTTGTAATGCACGGAGCGCTCTTACATTATATCTTATAAAATCTTCGAAACGGTACATCATATTTTCAAAGTGTAAAGGGATTGGATTAATTGATAGATGGTTAGTGTATGCGATGAGACATGATAATAATTGAATATTTAAAAACCTATACAGTCGTTCATACAGATATTGTAACTTCTTTTAACTTTGCACGTATGTCTTCCAGTTTTTTATCAAAAGCTTTTTTAATAAATTCACCATATTCGTCATTTATAACAATTAACAAATGTACCAAATAGGTCTCGGCTAAAATGTACAAAATCGTCACAAGTTTCATTGTAGTAAAAGGCCTCTCGTTCCGTATGTGTATAAGTATATATATATATATCTTATTTTTTTCTGTACAAAGAGTATGCGTATAAGAAATACCAGTAGCACAATCTCGATTACAGCAGATGGAAAAGCGATTGAAGGATTGCGCGTCACAGTAACAAATTTACTCGACACTCATTCCTTCAGTGAGAAACGTGATATAAAGATAAATAGTATGATTTTTACAGATTTGACACATCGGCAATGTCGCCCAATCCTAATTCCCCAAGCTGTAAAATTATAAATAATTTTGCAAATATATACTCACGCTTCTCAGTTTCTGCTACATGTTTGAAAAGTATCGAGCTTGAGTTGTTATTAAGTTTTTGTCTCTTTCGCCTTAACGAATCGGCATCATCTACAAATGATCGTGCATTAATAAGGTTTCATTATATTGACAATTGCGTACAATTGAATGAAGGCCTCTCGGTAAAACTTGAGAATTTCCTTAGCGTACATCGATAAGGTCATTTTAAAAGGATAATCGACGAATTAAACTAAGGATAGACAAAATTTTTGTCAAAACATTTTTAGAATTAGCAATCTACAACAACATGAAAAGAAAAAGATAATTGCATAAACTCATAATATCATAAAACTTAATAAGAAAGTAGTAAAGTATTTTAGAGAATACGAAAACATAACAGCATCATACTTGACTAGAAAGGACATAGTTAATTACTTGATAATAAACAACAATTATAGAAAGTTTTATAAAATCCATCGAAAAAGATATTAAGTAAAAGGCAACAAATCGCGATTCGACTAGACTTGAATTCTGCATACTTGGATAAATGCGTCGAAATTACAGCAAAAATCGATCCGTTTTAACGTACTAAACATGTCTTAAGAAATAGTTCTTGAGTTTCCTATTTCTTCCTATGGAGAAATCTTTGATTTAACAATACAAATGTCAGTTCTATCAAAACTCTGTAAATTTCTTACAACAAGAACCGACAATATAATAAAGGATTGGCTGCAATGTGTGCAACAGAGACAATACTCCACACACTTTGGTAGACAAACTCGCCAGATTCAAATACAATATTTTCATAATATAGAGTTATATAAAGTTATTTTCAACTCGGCAGTACAACAAAGATATCATTAAACAAGTAGTTTAGGTCTCTTTTCCCTCCATCAGTATCTTTCCACCTTCGACTAGACTATAATAGAAAGACAGTTCATCAAATTCTGAGGCAGTCGCGTGCGGTGCCATAGTAGTGTACAGAGCATAGTGTTCGGCTTCAGTTAAATCTATACCATACGGTGGTGTTTCATCACCGTCTAGTTTGAGAGATTTAACACCCGTAACACTCGTCATACTAGGACGTGGAAGCTGCGATTGCATATCGTCTTGCACGGCGCTCCTCAATAAATACAAGCTATTTAACGAGTCGCTATCTCCGCTTAAACTCGGTATTGAGCATTTATCTTTCTTATTCTTCTTAGCAAACAATTTTGAAAAGAGCCCCTGTTTCGCGTGTTTCGGTAAAGTACCGGGTAAAGACGGCAAGTTTTTATTCGGTGCCTCGGAAGAGGAATCGTTGAGCGTCTGACCGGATATCGGACGCGGTAAAAGAGGCATCGATGGCATCTTTCGTATTCGCTTCGGGGGCAAGGGTGGTAATCTTTCCTCCATCTCACCCGTTACATCTCTTTTAGCTGCCGATGTTGGAGACGTCACAGGTATCTCCGTGTCTTGTCTCGGAACGGCCACGTCCTCGTACTTTCTATCATCGGTGATGTCAAATAACTCAATCGGATTCTTCATGGCCATTTGTAGACTAGTATAGGTCTGGTTGTCGCAAACGTCCATCATTTGATTTGCGTTTATCTCCGTAGAAGTTTGTATCAGTTTGTTATGAGTATCGGCGTAAATTTGATCGAGTTCGGCCACTTGCGACAAAAATTCGTTCAACGATTTGTTGCCGCCTTCCGTTGTATTTTTAATTTCCGCTATCTCATTACTCTTCTCCTTAAGACATGCTTGTCCCTTCTGCACCCATTTGCCTATTTCAGAATAATCGAACCAATCGGACCTATCCCTCGAGCTATCTACATTTCGCGACGCGGTTATGCCGTTATCCTGCATGTCGGGTTTCGTACAGGGAACTGCTTCGACAGTTCCCTCTTTATAATCCACGGTAAGTGTATCGTTTTTTACGCTATTATCGCCAATATACAATTTATTAATTTCTTTTTTGCTCTCCACGTTACTTTCGGGACTTACTGTTACCTCGTTGTTCTCGTAATCTAAAACGGTACTTTTCGTGCTTTGATCTACGTTTTGAGCAGAATTGATTATTGCCTTTAAATCGCCGTTGCACAAGTCGATATGATTTTTCATATTGTACAATTCGTTTAAAGCGCGCAATGCAGAGATTTTATCGTGCGATCTTTTCGCGTCGAGATCGTTATTATTGAATTCGTCAATATTACGAGGAAACTTAGGAGTTACATTGGCAAGAAGAGCAGTCTCTGTTGATAAGATTTTACTAAAGGTATTGTAATCTGCCTTCTTCCTGGCAAATGCTTTCCGTAATGACCAGAAAGCAGGCCTACCTGTACCTAGTGGTAACATCTGAAATGGTAGCGGTTCGCTTGTAGTGCCGTCCGACGGCCTTCTAAGCTGGATATATACTTGCACCGGCTGTTCCACTTGCTGTGTACGATAGCTGGGTGTTCTGAATGCAATTGCCGTCTACAAAAAAAAATCGTTATAATGCAGAAAGACAAGTCGCGTTTTTCAAGTATTGCAACTCTTATAATTAATGAATAATTTATAGTTACAAAATGACGACAACTAAGGTAATTAGTAACTCACTTGTTTATGTACATGTGTTGGTTGAAAATCACCATATCCTTCCCAGAGTAGCTGTCCATCTCTTTCTTCAAAAAACCTCACTTGTATATCTTCTTTCGCGACTTTTTCGCATAATAAAATCATGTCCATACCACCAGCAACTGATGCGCTACAATGGCTCAGTTTACAAATCACAAGATCTGACATTGCCTCTGAAACATATATATATA